CTCAAAGATTTTGAGGTTTTTGCTTTGATACATTATTTTATGCACCTCCATTTCAATTTGAAATTGAATAGAGATGCTTGAGCTAGAATTTCTAGTAAAAATACTGGATTTGGCATAGTTTTGAAGAAGATTTGTAGGATATGCTGACCCAAGAATTGTCTTGGGAATATAACAAAATGATAGAAAAGCCACAAGAAGCATGTGAAATGAGAAATACATATAGGCAAGTATAAAATAATAAAGCTGTTTAGAAATTTGACTGCAGAACAAACAGTGCAGTTTTTCAGAGACGAAGCAAACACAAAAATAAATGAGACACACTTTGCTTTATTGGTAGAGCGACAAGACACATAATCAGAAATACGGAATAGTCTGATTTATCTCCAAATCTTCTTCACATACCTCAGTATGTTAAAATTTTCAAACATGCCTCTCAAATACATGTGTATGAATTTAAAACTGTGCATGCATATTTGACATATGTTTGACTGTATCTCAATGGCATATTTCTTTATAATGGCAGTGGATGAGAATCCATATTTTTATAAATTTGTGTTAAAGGAGATTCAGCCACTTGAATTTTTTATTATACTAGAGTGACATTATTTTACCTTACAATATGGCTGAAGAAAAGCTTGAGTGGGAGTAGAAATGTCAACTCTGCCATATTTTTGTTATTCTTGTGTTTATATTAGTTTTAATTCCAATACATGGTTTTCTTGCAGGAAGTATTTCAAGTCATCCATCCATTAGTAAGAGTTATTATATTTTAAAACTATGACAATATATTCTAGAAATCCACTTAAATTCAGCCAGGTAACCTGTGGCACGTTGAAAGTGCATAAATGGGTGTGTGCAGCACTGGCAACCCTTTTGCCTTTGCAGCCCCCAGGCCTCCACGGGGGCCTCACCTGCACCTGCAGGCACGTGGCCACCTGGCCTGTGACTTGTGCCCATCAGCATCTTAAATGTCAGTGAAGTTCACTTTCCTATTAGATTTTAAAAGTTCTAAGTGATTCTGTATCCAAAAGCATGGTAAACACCCACCTTACAGCCATCCCTTTAGCCAATAAAAGGCTAGAAAAAAAATTTATGATTTCAGATAACAATGAAAGGTTGAAATGTATAATTCTGTGATTAAGCCCTTGAGCTTCAGAGACACATAACATACTTTGTCTCTTATGATCTACGTGATGATGGAGAATTTATGGCACCTCTTCAAACATTCGTATGCTTACCTGTGACATGTTTGTGTTTTATTTGTAGTTACCTCATGTTGCCATTATAAAATTAAATGATATCTTACATGTGAATTTCTAGCACATTGCAAGTTGCTCATGTTTTAATAATTCTAAATATTAATGATATGAGAGAAAGATGAGAACTAGTAGGTAAAGTTCACTCTAAGATTACTTGTTTCAAAGATGGAGGCAATATATTTTCTTGGAACTGGGAAAACAGACTAAAGATTAGACTAGGAAAAAAGACTATAAATTCTTTACAATGCCCCCATGCTATGTATATTAAATAATACAGTTGGAAATTTTAATTTTAAAAATTACCCCCTACTTGGGTGGGAATTGATGAGACAGAGAAAAAAGTGGAAGAAAATCTGATGAGCACGAATTATGCAGAGTTAACCAGGAAATTATTCTCACTCTTCCCATACTGGAGAGTCTGGAGAGGCTGATCCATGCAAGGGGGACCAGCTCTAGAGGTGCATATACGTATTTTGTAAAATGTATATGCGGAGTAAATACAGTTTCCATATCAATGTCTTTGTAAACCATGCCTGTGATAGGGAGGTAACCTGCCTGGTGGCAAGAGCATAAAACTCTTATTCAAGAGCCCTGAATATGAAAACCATGGCCACTTTCAGACCCATCAGTGACAGCATTTGTTTTACTGTCCTAGGTGATTATTGTGAGGAAAAATGATGGGAATGAAAACAATCATTCAAATCGTAAATTTCTAAGCTAATTTTATTTGTTACTATTACTAACAATGATTGCAGATCATTAACAATTAGTTAAAAATATAAACTCCCTGAAAATCTAAGATTCAGAGCCAAGATCTTACATGCTAAATTCACTTACTGACTAATTTTCAACAGATCAATTTCATGCAGTTTCCTATAATTTTTCTTTCTCAAGTGACATGCTCTTTGTGAATAATTTCTTGTAATGTAAAAATGATAATACTATCCATTTTAATAGGTGACACTAAAATTTGAAAATAGAGATCTATTTTCTGTGTTTTAACTTATTTTATGAAGACTATATATGGGCTTATTTTATAATCGCTTTTATGATCACTCAGCTTCTGAAATGTGGTTTGTTTTTCTTTGGAAGAATAACAAATCATATTTTCTTTAGTGAAAAACTACCATACTCTTTGTGAAAAAGATGCAGTATTTGTCTAATCTAAACCTGATCAAGCTTATGGTGCTTTAGTTTATTGTGAAATTGAAGTTCCTTTATGACTATCTAGACATATGCTCTAGTGTTTATAAGAAAGGACTTTTGGTTTGGCTATAATAGTGTATGAAGAAATAAGTTAATCAATTTTTTTCTGCACTCTGCCACTTAAAAAGCTAAACTGTGTACTTAATCATTTTCTAAGGTAAAACATTCAGATGTAAAGATGGATTATTTTTGCAATAGAGACATCCAACAAGACAGCGCTGAAGTGTGTGATTAACTTGAAATAATGGTAGCCCTTAGGGCTTCAGGCTTTTTCTACTTCATAACATTTTAGGTTTGTTATTACCTTAGGTGAACCCAATTCCCAGAGAAAGAAGATACTAAATTAATTTCCTGTGACTTATGTCATCAATACAGCTAGGATAGAAAAACAAAAACAAGCTGTGTTTCTCCACTATTTATGGGATTCTAGGTAGCTATTTTTTAAAACTTATTTCACAAAAATTGCTGAATTCTCTATACCCTGGTGATGATTGTGGACCCTTAGACATAAACCCTCACACACAGACAAATGAGATTAAATGTTGCAGGAATGTACGTGCACACACACACACACACACACACACACAGATTTCATTTACTGTGAGAATTCAAGAATACTACTTTATTAGATTTTCCCTGATACAAGACATAATAAAATAAGAAGTTCCTTCAAAGTAAATGTTTCTTTCTCTCACGGTCCTCAAGCACACTAGCAGTGGATGAACACTCTCAATTTCTAAAGGTTTTTAGGACAGATCTCACATGCTACCTTCCTCGTTCCTGCCAGGACTGTGCCACCCACACTTCTTCAGGAAGTTTATATCTAAAAATAACAAAAATCTTACATTTTTTTTGTTTGAGCCAAGATCAACTACAAAAATAACTGACCATAAGTCCTTGTACAATAAACCAAAATATACATAAAAGGCATTATAACTTGGCTAATAATGGTTTGACATAGACATGAACTTGGTTGAAATGTATATGTTGAGTAAAACTAATAACTGACTTTTCCAAGCTATATCATTCCATTGAGTTTTTAGAAAATACATTGTCTTCTTTGTGCCTGCTAGTATATAATATTATTATTAATTTACTTTTGGGTTCAGAAAGCAATTATGTAATTTTCCTTTATTCATATTTTCTCTGGAATTTATTAAAATTTATGCAGTCAATAAATTCTGAAACTTCTACAAAGCAGATGTGTTCACTAAATCAAAATAATTCAAAGAGAAGCAAAATAATTCAAAGAATTAAACACTTAAATACACAATCATAAAAAGATGCATCTTAAATAGTAAAAATTCATTGTATTAGTGACTATTCTGGTAGCACTAGAGAAAAAATTTCAAATGGTGAAACTATGACAAAATTACAGAAGGAATGAGAAGAATGAAATGTAATTGAGAGTATTCATTCAAGCCAGAACTACCAAACCTGGTATGTTCCAAGGAGAGTTACGTGATGTGCTAATAAAACATGGTGTGTTATATTGTGATTTATTAGTGGATATTTTACAAAGAGTTCTTTAAACAAAAGAAATTTTAAAAATTTCAGTTGTTGTTTTCCCTTCTTGTGAGTCACAGTGTGCTTACATTTTATGAGAAATATTAAATTAATTTGAAATACTGAAATTATTTTTTATTGTGGCAAAATATACATGGCCTGAAATCCGTGGTTTCAAAGTGTACAATTTGGTGTCTTTAAGTTCAGTCACAATGTTGTGCTGCTATCACCACTATCTAGTTCTATGTTTATTGTTGTTTTTGTTTCAGATGAGAAATTTCAACTATTTTTATTTTTATATTTTTAATCTCCCAAAGTATATTTTATTGTTGTTCTATTGGAGTTGTCCTGATAACCCCCCATTGCTCTTCCCTGCCTGCCCCTCTCACCCCCCACTCCCACAGTCAATCCCCGCCCAGTTGTCCACGGGTCATTTATCCTTGTCCTTGAGCTAGGCCCTTCCCTTTCTTTCCTCCCTTATCCCCCACCCCTCTCCGCTCTGGTCCCTGTCAGTCTGTTCCTTGTTTCCATGCCTCTGGTTCTATTTTGCTCATTTGTTTGTTTTGTTCATTAGGTTATTAATTTACCCATAAAACAGTTTTTTCCCAGAATATCTCTTAATTTTGTGTCTAGAGATTACATTTATGTGAACATTGGTCTAATCCAATCCTCTCATTTAAAAAAATGAAAAAATGTTATTTTAAGAGATTGAATGCCTTGCTCAACGTCACACAATCAGTATCTCACACAGATTTCTCGTTTCCAAGAACAGGGCCTTTTCTCTCTCAAGGAGATTTTTTCTGGTCTCCATTTACATTGCCTCAATCAGATGGTCCAGTAAGCTACAGACAATTCATTATGATTTTTCTAGAAGAGTTCTGGATTCACAAAAGTATATCTAATCTTTAAAAAAAAGATATATTACTTTGAAAAGTTACATTATACTTGTTTTATAACTCTTTCACTGCAATTTTTGTAGAAAACTTTCATTTTAAAACTTGTCTCTAATTCACACAATTCTGTTCTTAGGTCTTTTTAAGATTGTGGCTGATAAAACTCCATACCTTACTATGGAAGAAATTACCAGGACCATCCATATTGGACCAAGTAGACTGGGGCATCCTTGCTTCTATCATCAGAAAGATATGAAACTGGAGAATCTCTCCATAAAGCAAGGTGAGCAAATCATGCTCAACTCAGTCGAAGAAATCAATGGAGAAATAATGGTGAACTGTGGAGTGATAAGGAATCATCAAAATCACTCATTTACTTTGCCTTTGTCACAAGAAGGAGAATTCTATGAGTGTGAAGATGAACATATTTATACTCTAAAGGAGATTGTTGAATGGAAGATCCCCAAGAACAGAACACGAACTGTGAAACTCACAGGTTTTTCAAATAAGTGGGACTTAACGAATCCATTCCCTAAAGGCTTTTATGGTGCTCTGATACTCAAGCCTGTTTATGAAATTCAAGGTGTGATGAAATGTAAGTATCCACTGAGAATGATGCTCTATGAGCAAGGGCATTGTGTGATTTGGGAAAGAGAAGAACTTTAGAGTGAAGAATGGGACTTTGTCCCTGACTTGTCCACTAAGCCCTCTGAGAGTTAGATTCTCATATACAAATAAGTGAAGAACATATTCACTCCAAGGATCAAACTGAATAATGTATATGAACATATATTGTAAATTATGTGGTGCTAACTAAATGTAAGCTGCTCTGTCTCATACAGACAGATTAAGATATTCATTGTTTTTTACCACTGCTAGTTCAACATGGTCAGAAAAAAGTAACTTTAAAAACAGAACAGATTTGGTTAGAAAGAAACGTTCTTGTATGGAAGCGGTCAAAAAGAGGTAAAAATGCAGTTTTCTTAATGTGTCTCTTACTCCTACTTTTGTGACGACCTTTTCTTCAGCCACCACCACTAGTAATAAATCTTCCCTACTAGCTGGAAATTCCTCTAACTTAAGGGAAATGATGTGACAAATTAATTTACACATAAGCATGTTTAAATACATAATCTTCAGATAAGTATTTGCATTTTAAAATAGGAATAACTAGAGAGAACATTGTTACCCTAAAGAAATTAATACCTTGAATTTGCAAGATTAGGTACATAACCAGGGCAAGCCTGGAGCAAAGAGTTCTGAGCTTGTAATCAAAAAATCTGAATTCTAGGTTTGTATCAATAACTTAATAGGTGGTGGCTTTGGATGAGCCAGTAAACTTGTATTTATGCAAAAAGGATGATATTCCTTTGCTTGCCTCTTGGAGTTGTTTTGAGAATAAAATAAACCCTTGCCAGTGTGGTTCAGTTGGTTAGAGCACTGTCCTACTAAAAATTTGTGGGTTCAATTCCTGTTCAGGGTGCTTATGGGAGGGAACAAATCAATATCTCTCTCTCTCATTCCCTCTCTCTCATTCCCTCCCCTCCTCTCCCCCCCACTCCCTTCCTCTCTCTCTCAAGTCAATAAACATTTTTTAAAAAGAAAATGAAATAAGATTCTATTCAGATTCTTTATGTAATACACTCGAGAACATAAAGTAATATGTAAAACTGTTTAGTCAAAGTGTACTCATCTCTCAAATTCTATGCATCTCTGCTCCTATTAATATTATTGGTTACCAATACAATTATTAAAAAGTAGATGTGAAAATCTGGGTAGGTTTTAGAACTACATATTGAATTTTGTCACATACAAATACTTAACCACAAGTTGATTAATTCATTTGAACCAATGGTATAGGTAAGGAATCCCACTCAAATGGTGATTATTTTTTACTATTTTAAAAGATTGAGGCCACAGCATGATTATTTTTTCATTGGACAAAAATGAGGTCACACAAAATTTTAGTATTCACTTTAGTGTTTTGTTAGTTATCCCAAAATGTGCAATCAAAATTAATAATTGTTTTCCTCAATATTCATAAATAATGGATAACATTTTCTCATTTTATAATTTGTTAATTTTCTAAAACCCTTGGCACCTCCTTTCACACAGCTGCAAATGAAAGCCAGCCTACGACCTAAGTATTTGAGCAAGATAGTTGCACTTAATGAATTTAAATTAGGGATCGATCAAGAAAGGCTTCTCTGAGGAAATGGCATTTAAACAATGACTTGGAGGATGAGTAGGAGGACTATCAGGCAAACCCTTGGTGTTAGTTTTAAATATGGTTTTATTGTTAAAATATTGGCTCCATAAAAGAGAAAAGAAGCAAAAAGTGTTTAAGTGAAATATTTGTTCCTAGTAATTCTCGGGTATACTCCTTATTACAGGCCTGAACCCCTCTTAATTTTCATATGCATTTCATATTTTTTTAAAATTATACATTTTTTAAAAAATTATACATTTCATACATTTTTTAAAAATTATACATTTGGAATTATACATTCCAAAATTATTTTTGGAAAATAGATATAAATAATTGTCCAAAATCTCTAATTACTGGTCTCATATAAGTCATAAAAAAAATCCATGTGTGCCTTTTACAGGAAGATGAAATTCATATTAGTGTAAGAAATGGAATGCATAATATTTCTAAATGAAGAATAAGTCAGTTACTTAAATTTGTTTCAAAAAAGAAGACTTTGTCATTAAAACCTTTTTTTAAAGATTTTATTTATTTATATTTTTTTAATTATAGAGAGAGGGGAGGGGAGGGAGAAACAGAGGGAGAAAAACATCAATGTGTGGTTGCCTCTCAGGTGGCCTCCTCTGGGGACCTGGCCTGTAACCTAGGCATGTGTCCTGACTGGGAATTGAACCGGCAACCTTTTGGTTTGCAGGCCCATGCTCAATCCACTGAGCTATACCAGCCAGGGCTCATTAAAACATTTTAATGGTGTTATGTTTTGAAGTATAGGTTAATAATTTTTTCTTCCCTACCTGAAATTTTAAGGGTTGGAAGCTGCATTCCCCTTAAAGAGAAAAAACACAGTGGCTTCCAAAATTTGGGAGTACAGTTTTTGCTCAGATATGACCTGTTAATGTACTTATAAGCAGAAGTCTGACATACAGGCAGAAAGGTGGTATTAGAAAGGCAGTGTATGAATACTGTATAATAGGTGGGAACTGGGTAGCAGGAAAAAACTTTCTGGGTGAAAGACTGTCTCTCTCATTTTATTTTTGAGAATGAATCCAATCTTTACCAAAGTAAAAAGAAAGGTCAAATAGTGGCAAAAAGACATAACAAAATTGTCAGCAAACTTTGTGCTCTTGATCATTTCCTATTTCCCCCATATCTGCTATACTCCAGTATAACTCCTTTAAACGTACTGTCCCTGCTTTCCTGTATTTGCATTTACTTTTCCAAATCATATGGGGAATTTGCTCATTTTCAAGCCATCGGTTTTCGACAGTAACTACCTACTACTACCCCATATGGTGACAAAGATTTAATTCTCTTGTATTTCTACTTCCTCTTTTTTTTATTCCATTCTCTCAGTATATGGTAAATTATAATTAATATTTTCTTTATTGTGACAATAAAAAATACACTGCTAAATCAAGAGGTAGGTAATTACTATAATTCTATTTTGTTTAATTAACTCTTTGATTTTCTGTAACGACCTTATTGTTTCATGCTTATTTTTTTCATCGTCTCCTAAGTCTTACAGTATTCTTTAACATCTCTGAAAAAAAAAAAGAAAGAAAAACCTTTCAATGCAATTTTCCACAGAGATCAAACTATCAGGGAATCTACTTTTTTTCTATTCTTTCCCCCCCTGCAAGTACTCCTCCTGGCCCCTTCATCTCATGCTCTAGTTAGAACTCGTTGCTCTCTAGACCTATACTGCACAGGCAGCTACAACAAAAATGCCAAAAACCGGTTGGCTTATAAACAACAGCAAGCTATTTCTCAAAGTTCTGGAAGCTGGAAGTCTAAGATCAGAGTACTCCCAAAGTCCAGTTCTGGTGAGGAACCAGTCCGTGTTGCAGAGTCCTGGCTTCTCATGGGATCCTCACACGGCAGAGAGCAGAGAAGGGAAGCAAGCTGTCTCATAATTCTTCTGTGGTCACTGATCCCATTCATGAGGACTTCCTCTAATTTTAATCACCTACCAAGGGCCCGGTCTCCTAACACCATCACATTGGAGGGGAAGGCTTTAGGGTTTCAAACTATGAATATTGAGAGACACAGACATTTAGTCCATAACAGTGCTGTCCTGGGATTTATATTTTAAATAATCCCCATGGTTCCCTCTGGACTTGCTTCCGTGCCCACTAGCGATTTCTGAAATCAAATAACTGCATTCTTGGTTTTATTACAGTTTTGAGAAGCCCATCCCCTGCTTGCTTCCTAAGATAGGTGCAGAAGACTAGTTATTATTTAATTAAAGGACCTGAATATTTGAAAAATCTTCATTCTATGTTCATATAAGATTGATGGTTTGGCTACTTATAGAATTCCAGGGTGAAATAATTCTCCTCAGAGTTCTGAAAGCTTTGCCCCCTCATGCTCTACCTTCCAGTGTTGCTTTGAAGAGATTATCCATAGTACTCAAAAGTTTCACAGCAATGCACTTCTTGGTGGGTGGTTCTGTTATTTCACTGTGATGGCAGTTTTCAGGAGAGAAATTTAGGTCCTTCATTTCTGGGATTATTTCTTTGATAATTTCCTTTAACCATTTTTTTCTTTTCCCTCTTTCTGTAACTTCTGATCTCTTGTTGAAGCTCCCATGCTGATTGAGGACTTGTTTCTTCTCCACATTATGTCTCCTTGTCTTTGGTTTCCCTTCAGGGAAAATTCTTCAACTATGTTTCCAACTGTTTTAATGAATTTTTAATTTTAGCAGTCATGTTTTTAATTTCCAAGAGTTATTTCTTACATAACTTAAAAATGTTATTGTGTTCTTATTTTAAAGTAGCAATACATTATCTCTCTGAGACTATTTTACATTTTTTAAAGTTTTCTATTATTCCTTGCATTTTATCTGCCTCTTTTGAGCTTTTTAAGAAAAAGTGTTGGTCTGTCATTCTTGTTAAATGCTTTTCCTCAAATCCTAAATTTTTTCTGCTATTTGTTCAAATTTGCATGTAAGACTCTTTTTAATGAACAAGTGAGACACTATTTCTCTACAATCTCTTCATTCATGAATTTGTCTCACTTTGTCACCTTTTTCACAGGCACATTTTCTCAAACTCAGGCCTAGGGGTCTTTCCTCTGGATCTTGCTTGGTTTGACCTGAGAAGAATTTTCGTGCTGTCTTCTGGAGGTTATGAACTATTGTAGCCCAGTGGGGAATGGCTGAGAGTTTCACCCTTCCCCTGCAGGCTTAGCCTCACCTCCTTGGCTTTGAAGCCTGTGCATCTCCCCTGTCCACTTGTGCCCGGTTTCCAGATTCTAGGACCCTGTGCCTCTAGGACCCTGTGCAGAGAAAGAGGGGGAAGCAGTGGTCCCGATGTTTCCCAGATTAGAGTTGGAGCCTGACTTTACCCACTTTTCAGACGTTCAAATAATTTCCTTGTTTTTGCCAC